GCCTTGAACATGGATGCGATTCCCAAGGTAGAGAACTGTTCAATATCACGAACGTGTATTTGCGCTCGTATCATGACATCTTCCTTTCAATAACGTCGATAGCTGGGTAATAATTAGGGCGTAATTAGGGTAATTTTGCTTGGGAAATGATCAATGCCAGCTTAAACACGCCATGGCATCTTGAATACATAACCTTATGACGTTCCGCAGGGTTTTGAGAATGTCAATGGCAACAAATCCTTCATCAATATTAAAGCTAATTAGATTCTACCAGTCCCCAGCTGGTCATCACGTTACGTTGGTCAGCGTGGAGGTCAATAGTTTAAATATGCATTTGTCCGGTCCAAGAATATCGTGATTATAATAATTTAAGTTTAATCAAGATGGTCATCGTACGTTCTTTACAAGCCCTTACTCAGTCCCAAAACGAAAGTAACATTTTCGATATGGTTTTAATACTCACTGTAATTTATACATACATTCTAAAATCGATAGTAATAAAAATATTCTCTTGTGCAGAACGGGAAGTTATTCAGACTCATTTATGACGCGTGTTTTTCAATATCTTCCAGCCTTTTGGTTACGCCCCATGGCTTTCTTCAGAATAATTCATAATGGTTCACCGTATCATTCTCAACCTGTAATCAAAGTACTGCAATGTATGAAGTGTTCCTCTTTCTGCTTTTTTCATCCTCAACCCTTGAATCTCCAAACGCTGAAGCTGAGCTTGAAAATACATATCACATTGAAATCCTTCGTATCTAAACGTCTACTGCAATCGTTACAACTAATGCTTGAAAAACATATGTTTTAAAAATATTTGGCTACACATTCTGGTTTGCCTTCAACTGCCAACTACAGTAGATGTAACACTACAAATCTAAACACGCCTACTGCACGCTTGGTATGTACATTGGAGTGTCAAGATCCATTATTCAACTTTATGCATGACAATGTTTCCACTATGAATCAAATTACCTGGCTGATTATCTTTACTTAATTAAAACCCCGTTATAAGGCTAAGAGACATATTTACACAGCAATAACATATTACAAAACATGATTGCAGGCACTTAAAACAAGTTCAGGTCAAGCGATATGTTGATCCATATGTTATGGGCTTTGACAAATTATGTATACTTTGGGTAATATGAAACGCTAATGCAGATGCAATCTGCTGCAAGATGGTGCAGGCAGCATATTATATGCATCGACAAACCGAGTGAATGATGCACATAAAGTGAAAGAAAGGGCCATATTGACAATCAATTCCAGGCCTTCTTTGACATAAAGAAAATGAGTTCCAAAAGAAATACTATGTTACAAAAGAATGATATGTCCGTTAACATGATCTTGCAAATTTTGGATATGATGTTTTTGTTCCAGTGAACAATGCACCCCCTTTCTATGGTTTCGTTCTTAGGTCCACTCTGGTTTGGATATTACGGGGATTAGTGGGGCTTAGATTGAATATGTTGCTGTGTTTATGCAACGTTTATCAAGCACTGCTTGTGCATATCATAAATATTGTGTTTGTTTGTTTGTTTGGTTTGTTTGTTTGTTTGTTACGTAGCGCCACACTATATGGTGGCGAGCTGCAAAAATAAAGTGCCGGGCCAGACAATCCAGTGATCAACATCATGAGGAGTTGGGATACGATGACATGCGTCAATCAGGTCAACGAGCCTGACCACCCGATCCTGATAATCGTCTGTTACGACAAGCATGGGTTACTGAAGACCAAGATTTTCAAGGGTCACACACATGTTGTGTCTATATGATGAAATGTATGAAATGAATTTTCACAGTTGTGATGAAAACGTAACGTATTGGAAGTCGTTGGAAGTGTGAATATTTCCAAAATTTATGGTATAAGAATTTTTGTAGGGAGATGGCAAGGCCTGCTTCCTTAGCTGGTAAGTTTCAGTTTTCTAAAGGGATCCTACTGGGTGTCTATCTCCAGTAAGGTGGGATCATTAATGACAAATTAATATGAAATACACGATGCCATTTTAGAATATATATGTCCATATAGTCTCCCGTTACCACTCGTGGCTTACTACGCCATCTATGTTTGTTATGTGCTTTATATTTCAATGTATATATGCTAAGTATCGTTGTCTCTATAATCCAATGTTAATTTGCTAACAGACGGGCATCAACATTTCTGTTAACTCATCCGTTTGGATCAAAGGTCGATAGAGGGGAGTTTCCATGTATATTCTCACGCCGTTATCAAGATAAAAGTTACTACAACCAGGTGAATAGAAGTATATATGCATAGTGACAAGCAGCAAATTAACAACAGGTAATTCAGCAAGTAGCACGTCGTTGGGGCCAACAGGAGAGTAAGATCAACAAGTCGAAATCCACTCCATTGTCCAAGTGATGGAATCAATCAACATTCAATCAGCTTGTTTATCCTGAACGTTGTACATCGAAATGCCTCTCTATGCAATAAACAGGGAGTTGTTATCACGTAAGTGGTATGTGTCGTTGTGTATCCCCATACTGTTTACTGCAGTATAAGTGAGATCTGCTTCACTTTGCGAATGACCAATCTTTTGAAGTTGATTTAAGCTCTACTTTAGTAAACTGCTACCTAACAGATTGATCTCAGATTAAAATATCTCATTCTAAATTTGTGTTTTCTATTTCAAGTACTAAGAAATACTGAATTTTTACGTATTAGATATACATCTATCGGTACCAGTTTGACGTGTCTGGTCATGAGTTAACTAACATAGTGATTATATATTTTTGACCATTACATGTGTCATTCACACGTCATTTATGCCATGATAATGTTCTCTGATCCATTTCATCATACAGCATGTATTTCATTCAATGTTTTGAAGCTCATATGAAAACATGAAAAATGTTACTGTTCCAGTTCCTTTTGAAGAGTGAAAGTATTTTTGTTCCTCAAGTCTTCCAACCAATATAGTTAGATGTTATACACGCGTGCATGCACACACCCACACCCACACAAAACATCCGTAATTTGTGAATTCTGTTCGGACGATAAAGAAATATCTAATTTGATTAGAATCAGTATATGAATTATCTTCCCTTACTCTGAGAGAAGCATGGCATTATTCGTTCATTTTTAATAATTTTATCTGCATAAAAGAAGGTATTATCAAAACTGTGAAACAAACTTGCGTATACTACCATATCACTAACATTGCGATATTGACCATGGAATAAATGTTAAGTTTAGTCTGTTTTCAATGTCATAATATGTGAGGTTCCTCATTCACACATACATACAAACTGACAGCATAACACAAAACAATATGCAACCAACCCAATGTAATACAATACAAGTTTCACCGCCTGTGCATACCACACTGTTGACGAATCTCTCAGGTGTGTTAGAGCGATAATCACACCGCGACATGATTAACAAGCCTACAGCTCAGCAGATTTTAATAACTTACCTTTTTAATAAGATAAGCAAGATTTATGGATGTCAACTTCTTTATTGTGAATAACACGAAGTTTCGGAGCATATGCTTGCTCCTTCATCAGGTGAAAATCAGGTCACAGTAATGCATTCCACTTCTTAATGCCCGTCAAAGATTTAACTTACTTCCAGAGGCTTTTTTAAGAGGCATAAAAACTTGTTAATTAACAAGACAGTAGGCCTTGTTAATTGGTGACTATTAACTGCCGTGACTCACTCATCAATCAACAAGGGATTAGGTCCCGGGGCGTGCAAATAACAATGATTTACCATCACCCACCAGTTATCTCCCCTTGTGGACATTTCCAAAATTGTAAATCTTTGGAAACATCATCTTTCCAAAATTGGAAACGTCTTGTAAACATGGACTTTTTTTCCAGTGAATATCACGGTGGGGAAAACTAGAAAAGGGCTTCACACATTTTACCCATGTGTGGAATCGAACTTGGGTCTTCGGCGTGACGAGCGAACGATTTAACCAAAAAGGAGTACCTTTACTGTTTCGAGAGAGACCTTTAAACCAATAGAAAGGATGGCTACTACATCATTTTCGTCCAGGCACATCAGGATCTTTGGTGGACCTCACAGGGGATTATGCTGAAAAATGATCAGCAACAAGTCCATTCGGGGCAGTCCCTCATAGTCAGACTCAGTACCTTTCAACCATACCTCATACCACTGAAATGTGACCTGCCGTTCTTTTCTCATCTAACGTCTTGATACTAAGTCGGTCATTTTAAGTGTCCCCCGAGAACCACTTCATAACATGTAAGTAAGCCTCCACGGGAACGACGTGAATGTATAGATAACACATACATCCATTCAAAGTGGGTCCTAAACGGATTAACTTCACGAGAGCAAGACGTAATTGGTAAACAATGAAATCAAGTCTCCACATATGTATTGAAGGAAAGGTCAAAGTACCACGAAAGTGGAAAGTCTTTAAATGGCAAATCGCTAATGGAAACAAACCAGCTTATTTCTGAGTCACACATTGCCATTGTGAATATCAGCAGGTTTAGCTAGCTTGTGAATAGTTAACCACGCATTACATCCAACACCGGCAAAGGGTAAGGGTAATTTGTAAATGTTTCTGTAAACTCCAGACAATTGGTCGGAACAAAATTGGGCGACTATTAATGATCTTGTGGCATATGCTACTGACGCTAATAGGTGGTAGGAGCTCTTACCAGTGAAGCGGTTTCCTTATTTTCACAAATACATGAGCTATTCGCCCGGATAATAATAATAATAATAATAATGTGTCCATTTATATAGTGCCAAACTCATCACTAGGTATGCTCATAGCGCTAACAATCAAGGCACAGCACATTATTACCCCAGATAACCCAAGCTGCCTGTTAGGCGCTGGATGGTTATAGTCATAAGACTTTTTTCCATCGGGTATCCATTTTCCTGCTGGGTGAACAGAGACAATTTTGAACAAACTCACTTGCCTAAGGTGAGACCACATGTGTCACTTGTGCTTCGTTGTGGGGCAGGACTGAAGTCCTAGAAAACTCTCAGGAGTCAAGCTGCCAAACACGGTCACCCATCCAAGGACTCTCCGAGCTCGACGCTGCTTAACTTCACCGATTTGTGACCTGAGCTTTGAGCACAGGAACACGCGCCACCACTTTCATGTTGCCGCAGTCCTCTGCGGAAAGTGACGTCCCGCTGGGGTGAATACAGCCTATAATCGTCAGGCACCTCTGATTGTGTTTCAAGATTTGTTGGAGGTGGGGTTGCCTAGTTGTAGAAGCGTTTGCTCGTCACGCCGAAGACCCGGTTTCGATTCACCACTTGGGTATAGTGTGTGAAGCCAATTCCGGGTGTCCCCCGCGATCATGTTGCTTAAAGCGACGCAAAACTAGACACACTCACTTCAAGAGTTGTTAGTACCATGTCAGTAACTTATGAATTTGGACAGGGATTGTGTACCTGTAGCACAGGTGTTGTTTATTGTTGTCAGGGGAACCTTCTATGTTCACTTGATTGGTCAGCGGAAATCATACTTGAACCATGATTGATTAGAGCTGTTACTTCCCAGGCAGTGACAGCTGTGTTTGTGGATGTCAGGTGTCATTCTCTCTCGTTGAAGCAAACTCTCTCTCACTCCTCACCCTCACTCTCTCTCTCACAAAGATCGTTGAAGCAACTCATTCTCTCTCAAAGCGTCGGCGAAGCAAACTCATTCTCTCATTCTCTCTCTCTCTCTCTCTCTCTCTCTCTCTCTCTCTCTCTCTCTCTCAAGAGAGAGAGTGTGGCATGTCCTCAAAAATGCAATAGACCTCGTCAATAGACCTCGTCTCACTGTGCCAACAGACCTCGTCTCACTGTGCCAACAAGAACTCTTCTCACTGTGCCAATAGACCTCGTCTCACTGTGCCAATAGACCTCGTCTCACTGTGCCAAAATTATATCACAGAATAAATTTATCTATCAAAACAAAGTCGTGTCGAATACAGACTTCTTGTTTTTCTTCTGAGACATGATCAGTTTTAACTGTAATGACAATCTCTATTATACACTCTTGAACACGTTCTTCGAAAACCTTTGTTTAACATCTGCACGGAGTTCATAACATATTCATAACTTTTTTCTTTCTTTAAAATCGTTTACTCACAAAATCAATATTTCAGAATAGATATCGCAGGTGATACAACTGATGAGATTGTGAAAGGTTGTTCAGTCATGCAAATATTTAAGCTGAGTTTATCGAAGTCCTTGACATAAAATGTTTCGCCATGTTCGTCTAAATTACCTATGACAGTAATATGTGCTTGATTGACATTTTAGAAGATGCTATTTGATGAACATAAATTGATTTCTGGATTTCATGTTTACCTCCTCGAATGCATGATTCATAAAACAATAGACAATATCCTACCTCCGGTTTCATAAAAACACTGTACCAAAGACGTATAAACCATAATTTATATGTATACACTGTAATTAATTTACATTCTATACATGTATATATAAGTATCTGTACATTTCTAAATTAATCAAATACTTTTGTATAATAAGTATCTGTACATTTCTAAATTAATCAAATACTTTGTATAATAAGTATCTGTACATTTCTAAATTAATGCAATAATTTTGCAGTAAACAATATTTTATATATTCATAATAACATTTATTACCTACGAGGGCGAAAATATCAGGGTTCATATATTTCATACGATGCCCTCGGGCAAAATATCATTTTAATTTGTCATGGTGACGTGACGTCATGAGCAATGCTATGACGTCACGTTTCTTCTGTGGCGTTGCGCTCTACATGCAACGAAGGCGGGTAACCAGCCTATATTTGAAAGTAGATTTGGGTTTACTTGCCTCAATTTGACGACTTCGGTATTAAACAGAATGTTATATTCGTGCCCATATCATATTATGTTTACGACACTCGTGCCCAAATATCGGTATATCCATCGCTCTCGCTCGGGAAATACCAACATTTAGGCACACGTGTCGTAAACATGGTATGACATGGGCACTCCTCTATGTATTTTCACTAGCCCTGTTAGATGTATCCATTATGACGTGAACATGTATCGCGTCGTCATATCATTGTGACGTCATGGGCACAGTTATCTGTTTATTAGTTTTACCTGCTGATGTGGCCGGAACAGGGCCCGAAACGTTGTATCAAAGAATAAAAGAAGATGAAATCCAGAACTGTTCCACAATAGTATGACTACAATGCCCCAGCCTCCTGTGTATCAGAGAAATCTGTTTTGAAAGAAACGATTGTTGTAAGAAATATCTGCTGAACACAGTCGATTGTGATGCCAGCTATGGTATGAGTGGCACATATAAATTTGAGTCCCAAATACATGGAAAGGAAAGTCAAGTATTCGTCAGAAAAAGAAAAACAAAGCGTACATCGGGTATTTTGTTAAAGTTTGTCTAATGTGGAAAACAAGAAATAACATCTCAAAGCTTTGTTGAGGTTTTGAACCGTGTGACCCTGTTCAAACAAGGTAATATAGTTCAAAATATAAAAAATGTTATCATTGGTCCATGTGTTTATCGGACATATTGTCAAAGGATGTGAAGTGTGATCTGACTTATAATTAAATCTATATAAGCTGATATTTTATTCATGACACATATGCTTATCGAACATGCAAGTAAAACGATTCATAACCATGAAAATGGACCCATATGTTTCATAGCAGGCATATGTAATTATTCCTGATAATATGTGACGACATTAGACACAATCAAATTTATAATTATCAATATATGACAAGACCTCTCGTCCTTGGCACACGTTTTTAACACTCGGTGACGACATAAAAGATGATACGATTCATACAAACCACAGAACCAGATATTTTATCTTTGGCCACAACTAGATATTGTATATTTGGCTGGAACCATATACTTTATCGTTGGCTGGAACGAGATATTTTATCTTAGGCTACAACTAGACAATGTATCTTTGGCTTGAACCAGATATTTTATCGTTGTCAGGAACCAAATATTTTATCTTTTGCTACAATCTGATATTGTATATTTGGTTTGAACTAAATATTTTATCGTTGTCTGGAACCAGATATGTTATCTTTAGCTTGAAGAAGATATTTTATCTTTGGCTTGAACCAGATATTTTGTATTTGGCTGGAACTAGATATTGAATCTTTGGCAACAGCCAGATATTTTATATTTGGCTAGAGTCAGATATTTTGTCTTTGGTACAACCAAATATGTTATCTTTAACACATGTATTTATCTTCCATAAAAGGTGACACGAGTCACACTTAAAAGAATAGAGACATATATTTTATCTTTGGATTCAGCCAGATATTTTATCTTTGGCTAGAACCAGATATTCTATCTTTGACATATGTATTTATCTTCCATAAAGGGTGACACGATTCACACTTAAAATTATAGAAGCCTGATATTTTCTCCTCTCCACAATCACATGTAATGATGTTATTTAGATAGGTCATTCTGTTTGCCCATTAACCCACTACGATTAAAATCGATACCTGTTGATAGATGGTTTTGAGCATTGACAATGGCCAGGATATGAATGTGTGTACACATGGGGATATATCGACCAACATATTTATCAATACTCGTGAGATCAGCAACAGGTGTGCCGCTTATGTACAGATGCAAGACAAAGGAAAATCGATTTCTTCAACCTCGCTATTCATAGCTTGAGGGCGTATTTCATATGTTGCGAGATGTTTATGGCATTCGGTTGGTGAAATACGTGCAACATGAAAACGATTTGTGTTGGTTATGGGAAATGTTATGTTTACACGGAACACGCCCCAAAAACCGGATCCCATTCCATTTCGCATAATCCTTCTGTTCTTTTATTAATCTGTAATCAGGGATCAGTTTCACGAAGTGGTAATAGCTGCACGGTCGTATGTCCATGTTAAAGGATAGGATTTATCCGTAGCGCTAGGACCGCTTCATGCAACGGGCCCATGGATTTGAAGCCATATTGTTGTGGTGGTGTGTGGTCCTGTGCGTAGAGCTCAGTTCACAAATCAGTTGAAATCAAGTACCGTTGCGCGCGGAGTGTCCTTGAATGGGTGACCGTGTTTAGCAGCTTGACTCCTGAGAGTTTCTAGGACATCAGTCCTGCCCGATAACGAAGCACATGTGGTACATGTGGTCTCACCTTAGGCAACTGAGTTTGTTCAAACTTGCCTCTGTTCACCCAGCAGAAAATGGGTACCCGGTGGGATAAGCCATGTGACTATAAACCTTCCAGTGCCTCACAGGCAGCTTGGGTTACCCGGAGTAATGATAATCAGAAAGTGTGTTAGCGCTTAGGGCATGTGCCTTGTACATAGAAAAGGCGCATTATCAATTCACAATTATTAAAGTGAGGACTATTAATTCTGAATAAGATCTGAATCAACGGTTGTGTAATGTGAATGTACGCATAATTTATGTGAATTAATATGAACATTCATACGTTATATATTAATGTACAGATATATTGTAAGAATGTTCGAAGAGTAGCCCGACTGTACATAGATGACCATGGTACGTGATTGTACGGACACGTATTATGAGTGTGAGGAGGTTTTATGTCGGAATTATACAATCGAGATTCATATAAATATGGGGGCGGTGGGGTAGCTTAGTGGTTAAGGTGTTCGTTAGCCACCCGGGTTCGATACCCAACATTGGCACAAACTTCGTGTGAATGTGAATGCATTCTTATATGAATATGCATACTTTTCATGTGAATATTGATACATTTCAAGTGGATATGCATGCATTTTGTGTGAATGTGCATACAATCCTTTTGAATATGCGTGCATTTTTTGTGAATGTGAATACCTCTTATGTGCATGTATATGCATGTCATATGAATGTGCACCCGTGAAGATCTGGGTTAGAATATTGATCTTCAGTAACCCATGCTTGTCGTAAGAGGCGACTAACGGGATCGGGTTGTCAGGCTCGCTGACTTGGTTGACACATTTCATCGGTTCCCACTTGCGCAGATCGATACTCCTGCTGTTGATCACTGGATTGTCTGGACTAGACTCGATTATTTACAGACCGCCACCATATAGCTGGAATATTGCTGAGTGCGGCGTAAAACTAAACTCACTCATTTGAATGTGCAATATTCAATTTGACTGTACATAAGTTTCTTGTGAATGTGCGTATAATTCATGTGAATGTGCTTGCATTTCGTGTAAACATGCATACATGTGAATGTGGATTTGTATGTGAATGTGCACATATGCTATGTAAATATACAGACATACTTTGTACTGTCATAATGTTATGCTACAATGCCATGAAAAGCCATTGCCATGTACAGAGTGGCTTATAACCTGAAAAACCAACAGGTTGCTGATTTCAAACCGTGCATCAATGTAACCGGATCTATATCAGTATCATTACATTTCATTCCTGACGGCCAGTAGAGCTGCATTTCCATTCAGACAGACACGAGAATTCCAGTTTATCCTTGGATGCTTTTTCTCGAGCACAGTGATACAAATAAGTTGAAAGTAATGTCTTAGTATTTCAACAGGTAACCAAGAAGTCCTACTATTTTGGTTTACGTTTAAATAAATCTAAATATATATGCCCACACTGATCAGTGGACCAGTATATTTCACCAAATATGTATTTGTCTAAGACCTTTTATTATTTTCGGCCTTTCTTTTAAGCTGACCTGTCTTGATCAAGCTGACAGCATATGTTTTGTTCACATTATGTAAGATAACCACCTTTCATGATCTTGAGTAGTTCTTTTCTTGGCAGTATTATTGTTTAACAAACCCAAAGGTCCAAGTTCGGAATCATATACAGAGTAGAGTAAAATCACCAGGAAATGCTATGGGTAAAATTGGGGGCAAGTACATCACGTTTTACGAATGAGCCACCTGGACGGATTTGGTCACACATATGGACATCATAGATTGAGAGTTACCGTTCCTGGGTCGTGGAGAGTTGCTTATAATATCTGATGTTTATCTGATGTTTATCTGATCCAAATTCAAGCATTTACTTATCTGTTTTAGACCATGCAGTACAAAAACAAAATTTCATTTTGATATATTTTTTCAGAAAAATACAATAGTTACATGAAGATATAATTGAAGAGCTAAAGGAAACAATCAGCAATCCAGTGAGAGAAACTCCTCTTAACAGAGACCTGTCTCACACGTTAGTGAGAGAAACTCCTCTTAACAGAGACCTGTCTCACACGTTAGTGAGAGAAATTCCTCTTAACAGAGACATGTCTCACACATTAGTGAGAGAAACTCCTCAAAACAGAGACATGTCTCACACATTAACTATTGGCAACAACATGAATGCCATACTCGATATTGAACGTGAAACGCATTTGCGAACATAAAGAATCGTAATGACCCATGAAAGACCCCAATGATTGAATTGTTTGCAACATGGAAGAGCATTTTGAAATACCATTGACGAATCATTGATTGTGTCCATATGGATGATAATTATAAACTTAGTATTATTCAGGGGAGGTTTATTTCAAAGGTTTGTACAAAATCAAAGTACAATAGGCTTATTCAATTAGTCTCTTCAACTGGAACTTCTCAGTTGAAACATCAAGCAAAGACATGTCATAATTATTGAAAATTACATCTGTTTGATTTTCTTTGACAATAATTATTTGTAATTGTGTGTGCTTGTTTGAAGTATCTCATGCCAATGATCATCCATTCCTTTACCGAACTATTCAGGATGACGTTGTACAGGATTTACATGAAATGAAGTTTATCAGATTATGCAAACTACAAAGACATTCAAATCAATAATTTGTAAACACGGTAATTACCATTACGAGGACAGGTTGATAAAGGATACGCCCCATATGGCAAAACGGGGTAATCGTGAAATTGTGGTGGAAGATATTGTTCGTCAAAAAAAAAATTAAATTGAATTAAAAAAGTAAATTGAGATAATTGTTTCGTTGATAATGAGAAAATAAACATAGGCCCATGGCTTTTCAAAACTGGATCAATGTAAGGAAAATGCAGTCATCAAAATGTTTGAGATTTAAGATTATGGATCAAATCTTGGTTCACCAGTCCTAGCCAGTGTCCAAACAACAATTCAAAAGTATATACTTGGTCACTCCACGTTCTGCAAGTTTGTCACTTCTGGAAAGGCCTCAAGCCTGTTTATTTCATTCGCTTGTGACAGCGATATAATGTGTTCGATTACCTCCACCTTTAGTGTATACACATCTGTGACAACAAGTGACGTCAGTAACACGATATTTATGAAAAGCTTTTATCTCAGGCTCAGAACCATTTGATCCACTTTAAACAATTAACATGATTGTCTATAATGTCAAACATTTCCACGCTATTTGAAAACCTTAACGCTTCGAAACATCATATTTCCAATGATTATAAATAGTGACGTTTGGAAATCACATGTTTCGAAGTGTGAAAAGAGGGATATATTTGTTAAGTGAAAGGCAAGTCACGTATTTACGAGTAAATGAATTGAGTCGTGTTGGCAAACTGAAAATGATGCACGCCCATAAGTATAAATAGGGTCTTTACACATAACTAAATGTAAGCAATACACATCCTTTGTATTCATAGCTATATTTAAATTTTCGTTGACACTATAATGATTTTATGATTGGTTCAGAATCAAATACGTGTCCATTGTTAGAGAAGTTCTGCTTATGTCTAGACATACGCCGAGGCTGCCATACATTTCAGTTCCAATGTCACCTGTTCGAATATCCATGTCGCTACTTACAACAATTCAGCGGGGTAATTTGGTTAAACACTGCAATGGATATTAACTCAATTATATGAGGGTTATTGTGAGGCAATCGTGAATAGGTGCTGGCCCTACGGGGTATCACGTTTGTACAAGTACTCCCGGATGCAAGTATGGTGCTGCTACAATCTGTGCGAACTTTCGATCTGAATGGGATCTTGTGTGATTTATACAATATTTTATTCAATAAATGAATGGATCTGTAAACGGGCATTACGCCCATATGAATACCTCTCCGATACAAAAGTAATACATAATACAAAGTTTACTTGTCAACACTAGAAAACACACTTAAAAGTTATAGTAATAAGTAATGGTCTAATAGTAAATACACAATACATGATATAGAAGGAAGTTAGCTACAGAAACGTTTTGTCAGATAAAATAGTCAGAGTTCAAAATATTTGGATTAATTTCATGAGAAAATGAACAATTTCCATATTAAACTGATTGTAGATCAAAACCATTTTCATAGAAGAAACATCTAGATCGAACGTCAGAAAAATTTACACACATAAAAAGTGACTGGCGTCATGGTGACAGCCACAATAGAAGTGGAAATATACTAAAGGAAACGGGCAAATTTATGGGCATTTAGGTTATTTCAGCCCAGTCTTATTTTGCAGTGAATACTTTGATTGCGTTTTGTAACATCATCCTATGGATCTATCTCGCAAAACTGATACTTGGTATAGTCACTTGCTGCAGCGTAATCACTTGCTGCAGCTCAATCACTTGCTGCAGCTCAATCACTTGCTGCAGCTCACACATCAATGCCAATCATGTCCTCAGTGGTGGAGGTTTGGCAAGGAGACATTTGACTTACATATACATCATTCATCTGCATCTGTTTTAAGCACTAAGTAGATATATAATTCATACAACACTCTTTTCTTGTAAAATGACCTCATTTGAAAGGTAATACGAAATTACTGATTCCACAGAAGCAGATGTTTGCAATCGAATTCAAGGAACTAGCTCATTTAATTTTCATAGGACCATGATTATATATCCAAAAATAAAATCACGTTATCACGATCTGTTCTTTTTATATGTTTGGAATATTATATATAATATAATGCTTACAGTAAGAGTACTTTTCAACAACCGATCATGAGAAACCTAGTGGATAAGATGTTTGCAGTTATGCGTAATAAGTATTGAGGAGAAGAGTAACCTTGCAGATTCCTTCGCTTTGATGAAGTCCGCTGTTCTGAAAGTTGAAACTGGGGCTTTCTCATTGTTGTTCAGGACCAG